GTCCGGCTGCGGCTGAAATTGCCCAGCAGCTGAATCGGGGAAGCCGGGAGCAGAGAAGCTGGGGTGCTGCTGGGTTGGTCTCGTAGCGCTGCCCCTCAGGGCTGCGGGACCAACCTGGCAGCACCCCAGCTGCTCTTGGGGACGCCTGGGGCAGAGCAGCTGAAGTGCTGCCGGGTAGGTCCAGCAGCGTCAGTTTCACCAGTAGGCTGAATCCGGACGCCTGGGGCAGAGCAGCTGGGGTGCTGCGGGGTTGGTCTCGTAGCGCCGCCCCTCGGCGCTGCGGGACCAACCCGGCAGTACCCCAGCTGCTCCGCCCCAGGGATCCCCAAGTCAGCCGCTGCTGAAACAGATCAGCGGCTGATTCCAGGAAGCCCCGGGATATAACAGTATAGGCGATTAACCAAGCAAAAGCTTATAGGTTAATGATACGGATTACACACATTTCCCTCCCCCCACCCTTGCCAGTAATTTTTTTGGCAGGCTGGACAGCAGCCCGTCTCAGTTCTGGCTCACACCAGGTCCAGAACCTACTCCTGCTGTGGCTCTGCATTTAAACTGTATTAGGAGCCAGGCAGGCAGGCAGCCTAGCTCAACTCATACTCATGCCAGGTCCAGGAGCTCAGACCCACCTTAGAAGGGGGCTGCTGCCACCCTGTTCTGCTGCCTCTTTATCAGAGGCAGCAGCACTAGACAACAGGCAGCTGATCCAGAAGGGGACCTGTTTTTCAAACTGGCTTCTGCCTGACACTCTGTTACAGCGGCTGCTGCCCCCGCCCACTAAAGAATAGTTGATTAACGGATAAGAATTCATGAGGTTACTCGACTATTCAATTAACCGATATTTAACATCCCTAGTATATACCAGCTCAATAATTTGAAAGATCATCAATACTTCAGGGAAGGGGATAGTATCACCTTATAAATGTCATGCAAAACGGTTCATTTTTTTATAACAGTTCATTTTTCATATTACACATAGCAATGCAAGTTGGCTGATATGCTACAGTCCTGGCAAGCTACATACAGGCTAGTACAGCAAACCAGGAAGACATAGCAGCAGCCCCATCAGAGGAGAGGGCTGGGCATTCTGCTCCTTTTTCCATTGGGAGGGGCAGTAGGAAAAGGCAGCTCACCTGTACATACTTCAGCCTGCTCCTCCCAATCTTCCTTCTGCTGCTGCTGCTGCCTGTAGTATGAGGTAGGACTGAGATGCAGCTTTTTCGAAGGGCAGGGAGCAGGGCTAGGAGTTCTGCTCCTTTACATGCTAGGAAGGGCAGCAGCACACAGGGAAAGGAGCAGAATTCTGGCATCTCCTTCAGCAGCTGTACCGCCCCCTTGACCTGAAGGGCTCTCCTAGGATTTGCAGGAGGAAAAGGAACAGAAGCTCCAACCCTGCTTGTGCCCTTCCATGAAGCAGCATCTCCACTATCTGCATATTACAGTAGCAGCAGAAGATAGAACTGGGGGCAAGAGGGTGGGGCTGGGGGCAGGAGAGATGCCAGTAGGTCTTTTCCCTCTGCACTGCTGCTTCTCCCAGAGGAGAAAGGAGCAGAATTCCCTGCCCTGCCTCCAGCCCTTCTGTGAAGTAGTGTTAGGGCTGAGAGCTTTATTCTTTTTATATTTGCATTTTAGGTTTGGCAATATAGCAATATATACATACATTTAATATTGTATTGAATTAAGTCCTTTTAGTTAAGTATATATCTCCTTGTTTTAAAGTGTAGTGCATAAAGAGACAGAGTTCTGGGTACTGTGACTATGTTAATAAGATTAGAAATATCGAAGGCCCGGGCCTTTGATGTGAATTGTTTTGATTTTGCTTTTACTTAATATAAAACAGTACTGTTTACCTTTGAAGAATTCTGTGTGAGAGACTGTTTGTATGAATGAGATACGGTGTGAAGGTCATCGTTAGAGCCAGATGGTCAAGAGAGAAGGGGGAGAATGTGGGGTGAAGAAAAAATTTAAGAGACAGACTATAAAGAGCAGAAAAACTATCAGTGCGTACCCACGGTCAAGAATGGATCAGACTGGCAGACTGACGAACCTTGAAGTGGAGTGGGCACCCCCAAATGACAGGATGAGCCTTGGAGAGATGTTTGGGAACGACTGACATCAACAAGATAATATTCCGGTCAGAAGCTGACAGAGCGGGATCCATGAATTTTAACAGAGAAGAAGGATTATATAAAGCAGGGTGTTTTGCTATGGAACTTTGGGTTCATCTGCCACACTATCTGGAGAGGAGTATCGGATCCATCGACGGACCAACAAGGCCCTGTTCCCCCCTGTGCTCAATCTAGCTGGCCACTAGATTGACACAGACTCTGGACTGGTAACTATATCATCATCTGGCAGAACTGTGTATGCATGATGTTTTGTGTGCATGTGTGTGTTTGAAAAGCATATGCAACTGTTGTATTTTCAATAAATGCAGTGTACTGCCTTTTCCCCCATAAAAGATCTTGTGTGCTTTGTTTAAGCATAACATTTTTGGTGGAGAATGCTAAAGGGGATCAGTATGCTGTAATTATTGACAATATTACTAAAAAGGTGTGCACACCCCAGTCAGGAGATACCGGCTAATAAGAAAGAACTAATTATGATCACTATTGTATGCATTGTTTTGCATTATTGGTATATAGTAGCGCCTCCTCCTTTCTTCACTTTTTTCCTGCTACAGTTTCTGGGAGAAATGTCCAACCCAGCAAAAGGGCAGAGGACACCACACCACCTGGTAACATGGGGTGGACCGTGGGGAGAGTGTTGGAGCTCAGGTTAGGGTGCTGAAGAGTCAAATGGAGGGTCACGTGGCTGCCTTAGATGGTGTGCCCCCCCATACTGCTAAGAAATTGATTTTACTTGCACCGTGGATTAAACATCAGTAATGACATGACAATTCATAGTGCTGTTCAAATAAAAAAAAAAGATAGAAAAGAGAGCTGAAAATGAATGATCAAAAAGGGAGTTCTGAGCTGAGTATGCATGACTCCATCATACAATAGTAAGAAAAAATACACAGTTACCTTAAGAAAGAACCTCTTATCTGTCCTGGCAGGATTGTAGGAGGCAAGGTAAGCAGCTATCAGAAGGAATTTGGAGTAATAAGGAAGTTCTACATGAGCATGTGCAGAAAGTCCTATAAAACAAGCACAGTTTATGAGTCACTGAAGGAGCATTTTAACATACAAAGCTTAAAATTAGACCAGCCAGTCTTGTTCTGGTTCTCAAGGGCAAACATGCTGCAGCATTTGTCTTCTCTGCCCACTCCACACATCAATACCCAAGCCATGGCTGGTGTTTCTCAGCTGCAGCTCAGTATCTGGACATTTTGATTTTTTAAATTTTATTACTGAAGGTAAAGGTTTCCAAAGCACTTTCAGCCCGATTTGTTCATCTACTCTGCAATATATGCATTTTGCAAGTTGAAAGTTTTTACCTTCATCTACTTTACATACAAAGAATATTCTACAATGCATCTTTCTGCCTTCCTTTTACACTTCCATTTCTACACTTTTCTCATTCCCACTTCCCCCTAGTCACTGTATTTTATTATTATTTACTTGAAATGTGTATGACCAGCAAGCTCAAGCTACCTTATCTTCATTGGCTGTGGAGGTCAGTTTCCTTTTAAAGGGTCTATTTTGTCTTTTCATCTAGATTGCTCCTCACCCTCTGCAACTCACTTGTCTTTTGTGCTTTGTACAGCATCAAGCATACACCTGTCAGTGCTCAAACAAACAATGCAGGCTTCACCCATAATACTCTTAACAAATAAGGATCAAAACATTGGAACATGTTTAAAAGTCAGTGTAAAATGCACAGTTCACAATATAATTGTGTAGCACTTGAGAAGGGCTATTTAGAAATTTCCTTTCAGGTAGTCATGAAAGCACTACATTTTTTTCAGCTTCTACTAACAGTCAAGTAACTGTTTTATTTGTACAGCATTTTAATACAAAAATTCAATTCCAGATAAAAAAACTCCTGCTTGTAGACAATTTAGTTCAGCCGTGGCCCAACCTGCGGCTCATGCCCATCAAAAGTGCGGCTCCTGAAGCCACTCCTGCCCCCTGCTGAATTCCCCCCTCCCCGATTCCCTGTGCTTACCGAGTCGGAGCTGTGGGGTTTTAAAAATAGTGGCCATCTTAAAGGGGCAGCCTCCTTTAAAAAAATTTGTTTTGTTTTTGCTCCAAAATTCTGTTCTGGGGAGGCTTTTTTTTTTTTTTAACTCTTCACATTTTTTCTACCACTGTTTTGGGTCTCTTTGTTAACTGGGTTGGTCACATTTAGTTGAATACCAAAATGCCTGTATTCCTACGCCATCTTTCTGACCTGCTTAGCATTATGTATTGTATAATTATTTGCTTGATTACATCCAGAACAGTTAATTACAAATTAATTTGTCTTTAAGAACAACACTAATATCAGAAATGCTATTTACTACTAAAACCATTTCCCATCAGATATGAGCTTAAAGAATTCTGAAAGTAACTTTGGATCTCTCTCTTTTTTGGGGCTAACCAAGAATATGTGGGAACAACAGGAAGTTTAGGAACAACAGGAATAACTTAATTATGATTCTAATTCCCTCAAGTAGACACACTGCAGAAGTAACTTTTTTTAAAAAGTAAACATCTGAATCACTCTGATCACTACACCACATTATCTATAGTCTACTACCACTGCTTTGATAGATACATGTAATAGGTTCTGACTTCAAATCAGAAGAGACTTACCAGGGAAGAGACTCAGAGAAAAAGTTAGTCCTAAAATTAAGAATCTGGAAATAGCCTACTGCTGAAAGGCAGAACTTCTTAAAGGAGATGTCTTAGCGATCTCCTAGCCAGTGTTTGCCAGAATCTGGGAATGGATCATTTGATGACTACCTGTTCTGTTCATTCTCTCTGAAGCACCTGACATTGCTGGCTGTTGGAAAACAGGATACTTGACTAGATCAATGGAACTTTGGTCTGCACCAATATGGCCATTCTTAAATTAATCATCCCTAATGAGTAACTGAAAACTGAAGACAAGATTAAAACTTGACTCTCAATTCTGCATAAGTGGTGATGGCACAGAGCTGCACTAGTCCAGAGGCAACGATAGAAAATAATTGTGACTGTCATGTTTCACATACTTCTATGACCTACAATTTGCTCAGGGTTCCTGTTAATTCCCCTTCACATCCAGCCTGCTCTGCTGGTCATGCACATAGTGAGTGCCGAGTAATGGATCAGCCTACGCCACGCCATTCTGAACATAGCGAGCAGTGGTTTATTTTCCCCTCATGCCCAGACTCAATATCCAGGCATGTTTTGCACCTAGAAAGGCGGTACAATCTAGGATTCAGTAAAGTCATTCCATTCAACTGTTTGTTAGAGATCAGCAATCACACCACTAAATAACTTCTACCATTTAGAATTATTGCATCTATTTGATACCTTTCAAGTGTCCAGGTTCTCCATCGTCTTGCTGTATTTTTTCCCACTGTGAGCTAAAAGAAAATAAAAATGTTTAAAGAAAAGGTACCTGTCATACCCAAATGAAAAAGATGATGCAACTTATCTTGTAAAAAGTCCGAGAGGGGTAACTTTAAAAACAATAAGTAGTCATGTGCCATCTTAGGCTACGTCTACACTACGGGTTTTGCCAGAAGAGGCAATCATCTTG